CATCTTTCTGTTTGAGATCAACGGAATTAATGCGCTTGCTCCGTGAAAGGGTGACGAAAAATGAGCTTTTTGCCACAAAGAAACGCTTTTCCGATGTTATTTTTGCGAATAAACAGCTGAAAGTATCCTGCCCAAACGTAAGTGTTGCCTCGTGACCTTGCACATAAAAGGCATCTTCCTTCAGGACGAATAAAAATCGATCGAAAGCAACCAAAGAAACAACGGTTATGTACCGCAACTGATGGATTCAATGGCAAACCCTGCACGTGGCACGGAACTTCGCAGAAAAGGAGATGGCAAGAGTTTTGAAACTGTTTCTAAGAAAATGCATCAACTAAGAAGGAAGTTATCTCAAACAAAACATTTGGGTACGCGTGGGTGGTTCAGAACACGGTGGACACCAGCAAAGTTGACCTTATGAGTAAAGCAAACAGGTAAATATAGAACTACGCTAGTGAATCAGCAGATGACAGAAAACCGACCAAACGGTACATCATGTCTACCATCATCTGAAGCTTACTAACTAAGTATGCTAAATGAAAAAAAGGGACAGCGTAAAAAATAAGGCTACGATGGTCACAATACCAGAATGTGGCCTTAACAATGCTTTCATAGATGGATGCTTGGGAGTTTTTGACACAATGCTTTCAGCTGCAATAGAAGGAAGAGTTACTGTAGTGGACATGGACATTTCAAGAGCTTATAGTGCCATGTCATACGCAATCCAAGCAGATAGTAAATTGTTGGTGTTGCTTATATAACCTAAGAAAGTCATCCAGGCACCAAAATGGTGCGCCCAAGAAATGTCCTCAAATTAGTTTCTTCCTTGCAATAGTGAACTTAAGTGCATAATTGGTTAAATAGACTTTTTCAAGTCAGGAGCAAAGTACAGACAAAGTATTTTATCGTCATCTGTTCATATCCAAAACACTTGGTCGAACAATCTGCAAAATTCTCGACAATCTCCAGTGCTTCTCTTTAAATTGCAAGGAGTAGGTTCATAGACTGTACATCTTGAAGCGAGACTTTGGACTGTAAAAATGCAATCCGCATGCCGAAAAACGGTGTGATGTTGTTTAGTTCGTGCAACATTGTTTGTGCTTGATCATCGGATATAGGAAAGACATCGTCTCCATACACCAGACATACAAGGTTCGCACTAGCAATGACTTGAACATCGGGCTTTTGAAAAATTCCTCGTGTTTCCATTCTTATTTAATCAGTGATCGAGAGAACAAGAACGGATATAGTGAACATCCTTGGCTGGACACCACTTTTTGTCGGGAAGCTTCGAAAGGGCTCACTATACATTTTTAGACTCTGAAGTATTTGAATCATCTTCATCGGCAGCAAGACATTACTGTCCCAGCAACCCAGGCCTTAGAAATTTATGCGTTGACCTCATCTGCTGCAATGCCGTAAGAACTAGCACAACGCTCCGCAAATTTCAGTGCCTCTCCCTGAATTGTATGCGGCGTGTTCAGTAACCGAATGCTAAGGAGCATTAACTTACGCTTTTGGGTACAAAGTACATAATAAAGAACGGGACGACCTTGACCAGTTCATCCAAAAATACCTGCGCCCTCTCCTCTTCTTCGAAGACGAGAACGATTGCGTCTTCATATTCTAGATCGACAAGGTTTTTGTCACAGGCCCTTTTCGCGCCGGTTTTTGGAGACCTTTTGGCGTTTCCCTCACGACTTCATTAACGACAAAGTTAAATAGGAATAGAGAAGGGCCACCCCTGACAGGCAGCGTTTTGTCTAAGGAAGCTTGCCGTATAATCTAGCACGTCTGAAAGCCCGAAAAAATAAATAGGTTGGAAGAACATATGCAGTTATAGACTTCCAAGACCGTAGGTGTTTTTACCTTTACCGCCCAGCGTTCTGTGTTGGCTCTGAACTCCGCACAAGTTAATTAAAATGATTTTCAGTCATTCCCGGCTTTCTGGGTCTCTCCCGTTTTCTTGGCTTTCCCTGTCCGCCAGACTTTATGGTTGGCTCACACGCTCACTTTCGCCTGACGTCTGATAATTCGTTACATCAGGTTATGTTTTGGAATGGCTGGTATGTTTCTTCGAGACATAAACAGTGCCGCCATTTGGTCTAATATCCAGTGCTTGAGTGCTTCTGATGGTGACGTCCCAGAGACAAAGTTTAGAGTGCTATGCAAAGAGTTGGTAATCCCATCAAAGTATGAGTTCACACCTGATGGCAGAGCAGGGAATGATTATAGAAGACGATTTTGATTCGTTCGTCTGACATCTGTATCTGTCAGTCTTTCAGTTTCAGAGGAATTTTTCTGCACCTTACCAGCCCCTAAAAAACTTAGCGAGAAGCAACGTCAAACAAGCGCGCGGATGTAATCCACGAATATGTCCCAAAACGACCAGCGGTCAATTATTGATCCAAAACATATGTAATTGATGGCAGTGTGTGGCTGGCATGCCGGTGAATGATACCATGTGGTTAGACGACTGCGGCTATTTTGGAAGTTAGTTCTGCATGAAGACAGCCTGAAATCAGCACAGAGCTAAAGAAACCGGTAACCACTGTTTGTACGTACCGAGTCAACTCCATGTCAACCTCTTAAATGAGTCTCAGATACGCCTAGCCTGTCCACTTGTGCATCCATATCTTTGGCAACCACTACGATATCTGGGGTTTCAGTTAGCCACAACAGGGTACTCAAGGTGTTGTAAAACCTGTCTTTGACGGCGTAGGAGCTACAGTCAGCTGGGGCATAAGCAGACAGGATAAACAAACATCGACCAAATTTCTGTTTGTAAGGTATATTCGCAGACGAGACTAAACAAACCACATAGATGCAAATATCAACAAGTATCCAGTCCGATAAGGATACTTTTACCTGGTGATTTAGAACAATATAGCTGTTGGACTTACTGCTTCAAAAGTCTCTGGATCGCCAGAGGTGCAAATCCGGAGGCCAATGGAGAGTACTGAGGCAATTAGTGCAACCACTGTGCTTGCATCTAGATTTTTCGTTTTTAAAACATATCAAAAACCAATACCAAGTGTAAGAGTAAGCCCAGCTTACTGTCCTGTTTGCTTCAGAATGCGGAGATTAAGGGCAGCCAGAAGGATTGTTCCGAAGATACCTGAGGACGTTAGAGTCATGTGACGCAAAGATTTTGCTTGCAAAATCAATGCAGGACAAACCTATTCATTAGCACTTACTGCTTGACTATCAAGCAAAATTCAATGGGTGGAAGGAGGGNAGAAGGATTGTTCCGAAGATACCTGAGGACGTTAGAGTCATGTGACGCAAAGATTTTGCTTGCAAAATCAATGCAGGACAAACCTATTCATTAGCACTTACTGCTTGACTATCAAGCAAAATTCAATGGGTTGGAAGGAGGGGAATAAAAGTTAAGTGAAAGAGGAAGAAAAGAGGCGTCAGCAGCAGTAGGTTTCTGCTTACATACCCTACCGTATGCAGCAAGTAAACCAACCTAGTTGATGGCACCACGCAACGGTCGATGTTACATGAGTTTATTATTAGACGTGGGTATCATGGTTTTACGTGGACTTGGATACTGTCAGAGCATCCACACCCAGAGAGGAAGGTGATTAAGTTCCTAAAACGAAGCCTTTGGATTAAAGCCTGACGCAAGACAGCGGTAATTGGCTGAAAAGGCCAATTCATTGCCATTTCTATAGAACAAGTTACCACCTTTTCCAACCACAGACATGGTGGAGTAGAAGATTTTGTTCGTCATACCTATAGCCGTTGACAAACTTGCTATGAGAGATTCTGTGAGTATGGCAGGTACATCTCATAGTACAGCTCACTGGGTCACTGAGGTGCGCAAACTGTCACACCACTGTAAGGTCAAGTCTATTCGTCTCTCTTATCACCTTTATATTTCATCACTTGAAAGAATAATCTAAATTTCAATAATCAACAAGGTTTCAGTAAGGACAACTCACGTTTGAATGACCACCTGCTGGCCCTGGAACATCGTAGTAGTCTAATGTGAGGGGCCTTGAACAGATGTCATTTATGTTGACCTTAGGCTAGACTTAGATATGTAGCCACACAACCGCTAGGCAAACTAGCACCAAAGGTTTACTTATTCTTCAGATTAAAGGACTTTCTG